CTTTGCAAATGGTCACTTTTGTAACGTGAGGTGCATTTTCCTCTTCATAATAAGGCTTGAGAGAGGAGGAAAAACGACTTTTGTCAAGACTGTCGAGCCCAACAAAGTTATGTTCCCAACTTAATAAGTGACAGTACAATCAGCAATGTGTCTAGAAACCAGACCTCTCTTGCAGGATTGGGGTGTATGCGTGTGTTTGTTTAATTTTCCAAGGCACTCTGGAATGTTTTTAAGCACTGCATGCTTTGATGCTGAGCCAACATAATGGTTACAGTTTTCTTTTAGTCTTTTTTTATTTTTCCTTGTAAGAAAAGCCATCAAGTGCAGAAAACTATACAGAAAGAAGGAACAAGGAAAGATAAAGCAATACAATGACAATGACTGCTCTGTTAATAAATATGGACTTAGGAAGTAAGAAAATTGTAATGAATCAATCCTGTACCTGAGGTGGAAGATGTGACTTGCATCCCTAACATTTGTGCATGTGTATTTTTAGTTCTTTCCAATTACTAACCATCACTGTTCTGAAGAATTAGCATCTCTCCTGAATCCATAGTTGAATACTTCAATTTCTATCCACCATTTGAAGCTTGAGCACATTCCAGTCCTTCCCACTTTGTTTTGTGTGTGTCTGTTTCTTACCAATAGCCAATGGGTCACAACAGGAGCTGTACTGCATGCCTGAGGTTGGAGTTACCCACTCTCTTGTTCTTGTTCTTGTAAACCATTTTGAGTGACAAAAGGCTACTTTTAAGGGGAGTAAAGGAGATGTGTGGGCAGGTAGCTGTGTGAATAACCTCTTTCCAATCAGTTGTTCCCTTAAAATATTGTTCCAGGCCATTATTTTACTCGAAAGATGAAAAGTCCTTTATTAAAAGCTCCACCTGGATGGGGAAGCCAGGAAGGATATTTAAAGGGGAGAACTGGAAAGCCTCATAGAAATGAAATATCCTTCATCTTGGCTGTTCACACCTAACCCTAACCCCAATCCCTCTTACGCTTTACATTCACAAAAGCCCAGCATATGTGCTTGGAATTTTAAATTGCCATTGTTCCAGTTTGACCCAGAAAACCTATAAATCCCTGTGATTTGATGTGCGTACTTGTAGCTTAAAGGGGAGAACTGGAAAGCCTCATAGAAATGAAATATCCTTCATCTTGGCTGTTCACACCTAACCCTAACCCCAATCCCTCTTACGCTTTACATTCACAAAAGCCCAGCATATGTGCTTGGAATTTTAAATTGCCATTGTTCCAGTTTGACCCAGAAAACCTATAAATGCCTGTGATTTGATGTGTGTACTTGTAGCACATGTACTTAGAAGAATAATATCTATTCTTCCTAATAGTGGGTTCAGATGGTGAATGCCACCAAGACTGTAGTTAGAATATGACCACTAGGAAAAATGGAAGAAAACCTTAAGTCTCCAGAAGTAATTTTAGAGAGAGAAAAGTATTAAGGGGGTCAGAAATCCCTTCCTCAATTAGTAAAGGAGTCAAATCACATTTGCAGTAGTCTCTTAATTCCTCCTCATTTCACACTTTCCTTAGCATCATAGTTTCCTCCAGCTCACGGACACAAGTGGGTTTTTCCCACAGCTGGTGTTTCCTTCAAGCATTTGTTAAGTCTTTGTTCATGGAAAAGACAGAAAGGTTTAACATCTTACAGGTTCCTTTGCAGTCCTCCTCATCCTCAAACTTTTCACTCACAGAACCAAGTCATTGTCTGCCTTTACGACTTTCTCCTTCTAATGTTCCACATTCAACACCATTTCTAACTCAACTGACTAACAGCCTCATGTCCAAATGCTTTGGGGGGGCATGATTAATAAATTGTGCATGTGCACATGCACAATTACTGCCGATCATCGAGAAACCATGCAATTGTTTACTATGAGACTTCATTTCTCTATTGTCTCAGTACAAAGTAGAAAAATCTGTCTTTTGCTTTTATGCCCACATGTTTAATTAAAAACTTTGGGACCTGCAAAAATTTGAAAATTCAATCTTAACTGAGTGAAAAGCAGCAATGTTTTGTTGTTGGTTTTTTTGCTGACAAATGATCACATCCTGGATAAAGCAGGCCCCACTGTTAACGAAGTGAAAAGCGAAGGTATTATTTTATTCTCTCCTTGTTTAAAAATAAGATTCCATTCTTCAAAGCACGTGAAATCAATCAATCGAAGAATAGTCAGCTTCTGTATCACTTTATCAATTTAATCTTTACCCTTGACTGGCAGTGAATTGTCACCATTTTTTCACCTTATGAATACTTGAAATACTATTCCCCATTGGCTACTAAATCTGACTGAAAACTAACCCAATCCCTTGAGCAAATAACCCCCCTGGATACTTTGCGGGTTGAAGCCCCTAGCTGTGGAAACAAGCAGGGGGCGCTCAAATTCCCTACTCTGCTTCCCGGCAGAAAAGCCAGCTTAAATGGCTTTGGACAAGCTGCATGGTCCCAGAATGCCATCAGAAAGAGGGTCTAGCAAACCACTCTGGAATATTTTATACCAGGAAATCCCCCAATTACTATAAATTGGAATTGACTTGATGGTACAGAATCGTTATCACCATCACCACCGCTGCTATTAATGTTGGGTTTAAGCTGAGTTAGGGCTGTCATTCTTGTGCCAGACCACATATCCTGTGGATAAGGCATACCAGAAGCTAACTGGCACGTCACAAAACATGACACAGAACTGGCATCCGAACCAGGAACAAATGTCGTTGAAGAAATCAGTCTATATTTGGTCACTGATGGCTGAACAAGCTGCTTGTCTTACTGAGAAAAAGGATGTAAAGGAAGAGAGATGACTCTAAATTCATAGTGGATATATATATATATGTGGGAAATGCAGAAACTCAGAAGGAAGAGAGATGACTCTAAATTCATAGTGTATATATGTGGGAAATGCAGAAACTCAGGAGCCTTGAGCTCACATCCACTGGCAGAGCTAACCCTACCATTAGGCAGAACATGCTTGCCGATTGTAGCATTCTTCTGGCTTTCATCCTTGTGTCTTATGTCACAACCTGTTTAGGACTGTAAAACATGCCTGCTGTCTCAGATGTGGTGAAGGACACTATTCTCCTGCAAGCACTGATTTCACTGTCAATTTAGCTAGCTTTCGTACATGGGATGGGAAGGGGGTACTATTTTGTCCTTGGCCTCAGACATCAAAGGATCTGGGTCTGGCCCTGGGATTACCTTTTACATATGCACTACAGGATTTCAGATGCCCCAATGTTACAACAGCCTTCTGAGCTTAAATAAATGGCTTGTGATGCCAGGGATTCTTGAGTGGATCACCTTGCGCTCCAAGACGGTGTAGTCAGAAAAAAGGAGGAAAAAAGAGACCATCCTGTCTATGTATTTTTGAATTGTAGGTCAAAACTTTAAGAGATCTATGGTGTCTTATCTTTGCCTATTTATTGCGGAAAAACCTGGTGTATATAGTATGTATATGAAATGGCTTTAAATCCAACCAGAATCAGTGAAATTTACCCCAAGGTCCTGTCACAATGAAAAGCTTCAAACTGTGTCCTTCCTTTTTTGCATAAACCTCTGAATTTGACTCCTCTTTCTTAATTTCGTCATGCAGCATCTGTGATAATCTTTCTCAGTCAAGTCCATTATGTGATAAAATGAAGAAAAATTGCTTTTCTTTCATGTTGAAAAGTTTGGGAATGGCAGAAATATTAATTTACACTGATCCATCTTTACTTTGCTGTCACTATATACTATTATACCTATTCACACATATTACTTGTATACTGTGTTACCAATTTGGTTTACCCTGAGCATGTGACCCATCAGATTACAGCACTTTAAAAATACATGTGTAGTATCAGGTGTGCTTCATTAGAGTATGTGTGCTTTATATACAACATATACTAACTAGGATAATTCTCTGCCTCAATAAAGTTGATAAGGACCAGAACTTGTCAGGTCCATTCCTGTTCATCGCAACAGAATCTAGAGGAATAATAAAAATAAGTTGTGTTTGTACATAGTCAAGTAATATACAGGTACCTTGTTCTATAAATTACTGTAATTGATAGCAATAAATATATAACTTAGGACTTGATCCAGAAAATGCCTGCATTCCGCAATATACACACACATGGATTTGTGGTGTGCTATACACCTGTGTTTGTGGGACTGAGCTGTAGGGATTTCACAAATATTTGATTTTGACTGTTGAAAGAAGAAACAACTTTCCAGTGTTCCTGTGCTTATCCAGAAATACATAACCTACTGAAAAGCGGGATCAATGTACCATATGATTGATAACCACAATTCAGTAGGAAAGTATAGTCAGCAAAAGTTAACAAGCAGTGTTCATGATTTTCAGTAATACTTCTATCCATATTAAATAATAATTTCCCTGGATTTACTTTCTTAAAAGCAATTACACTTAATTTGCACTTGTCAGACATCAAGTAATCATTATTTCTGTCATTTGTATCACCAAAAATTAGAGCTTAGAAACCTTGTAAAAATAAGGGGGGGGGATCAAAAACTCACACTGATATATCTGTCTTTAAGTGCTAGAAGATTTCCCTTTTTTTCTCTCTTTCCCCTTTACTTTTGCAAGCATGCTGAGGAAGACTAGCATGACCACTTCTTTAGGAAGAGCTTAGAAAGTCACTTTTTAAAAAAGAATGAATGTAGTGACATATGAAAGTAATCAGTGACAACCTGTTAAGACAATGCTCTAAAACCCAGAGCATCTTCTTACCTCCTTCTCAGTTATGGATGGCTTCAGCATTATAATCATTCTTCTTGAATAAACTTTATATGTGGTGCCAAGAAGTTACTATTATCTCAACTGAGGATGGGCATGAAGCACTGATTCAGCAGTTTGTGATGGTTTGTTTAAAAGAGAGCCTTCCAGCTCTCTACTATTACACATTCATTTTCCACTAGATTTGTAGTCAAAGGAAGTCAGAATACATTTCTAATAAAATCAGAAGGAACATCACAAGAGAACTACTTGTCTCACTTTATTTCAGGAGAAATGCAAATGTAACTTTGATAATGCTAGAGAAATCAATATTGTCACCGTGCATAAAAATGCACATTTTTGATGTGTGCATACTTGTAAACACACATACCAACAAGGATATACTATACATACATGACCACACGTATGTGAATACAGGATGTAAACGACACAGTATTGATTTCATCTAGTACATTTCTTCAATAAGGAGAAAGAACCTGCTATAGTGTTTTCCTTCTTTGTTGCCATTAAACAAAAACTCCGTTGAGTTCAGCCACAGTAACTCAGGGACCATGAGCAACAGGGCCTTCTTTTGTCTCCTATAAGTGTATTGCTGACAGAACCTCTTTTCCATGACCATGGTCTCCCCCTATTGTCTTTATGCTGGCAACCTGCTGTTAGTCCAGAGGGTCAGATTTAGCCCTGGGTCTTTAGTTACTGATCCCAGCCTAAGCTGATTTTCACAATCTTTACTGCTCGTGAAAATATTCAGCACATTTTATTGCATTTGCAAGTGTGCAGAGCTGAGTATTAAGTTTGCAGAGACGTAATGATCACTCAGACAGGACACTTCTTTATAGTTAAATTTCAGCACACAAGCAAACATTTTATACTAGAAATTCTTTTTAAACTGAGCTTTAGAAAAATAAGAAACATACTGCAGCCTAAAATAAATTACACATAATGTACAATATATATATTTATACACATCCATATGTATATACACACATATATTGATACAGGATTGTAAATGTTATAGATTTCATCTAATCAAAGCTACCTGCACCCAAAATTTAGAAAATGGCTTTGTGCAAAATTAAATACAATTATTTCAACTGTCCAAAAGCTGATAGAAAAATAGAGTTTGGCTAAAGAAACCCTGACACTTTTCATTTTAAGACATTTCTTCTCAAGTTAAGGTGGTGTTATGTCAAATGATCAAATGTCAAATTTAGCTCCTACATGGACACCGAGGTTCCCATTTTGTCCCTCCCTTTAATATTCACTTTCATGCCCAGTGCTGTTGTTTCCAAAACAGTCCTGCAGCACACAAGTAGAAGCGCAGAGAGATCTCAAGGAAAGGCAGGTACATCTCCCACATCAACAGTAGGATCCAAACTGAGGCTAAGATAAGCCCAGTTAAGTATATGGCTGGGAGAACAGTGAAGATCGAAGTCCTGGGTGTGAATTGCTGGTGGGCAACGATGGTCCATAAGCACTTCCAGTGCAGGGGGTATGGAGATACTGAGGCTGGCCAGCTTAACTGAGGACAAACGAAAGTCTACTCATTTGATTGAGACTCCCTTCCTTCCCTGACATCCCAAGACATTTGCTTTTAAACAACCATCTTTCAAGCTCTGACCTACTTATGTCATTCAGTACTGGCAGAAATTGGAAGCAGTAACACCCTGTACAGAATGAACTATATTAAAGGCTATACTGTGGTATTCTCTGTGCAAGTTAGCATGGATATTTTTGAACAGACCATACAAACAGCCATATTTTTTTTTTAAAAGCATTGGAGTTGAACTTTGGTTTAAGTATTGAGTTTTTTTCTCTCCCCCCACCCTTCATCTTCCTACCAGGAAACAACCCTGGAAATAGCCATGTGTACCATATCTCAACCACAGTATCCTGCATAGCACTGAACACGGGAACAAAAATCTCTCAAAGAAAGATTTTAGATTGGACATTAACTATTCTGTATAAAGCATCTGATTTAAATGTTCACAACTGTTTTAGAAAATAGTTACAACATTAGCATAGTACAGATAATGGTTCACAGTTGATGGACCAGAGAACAGAAAGAAGCCTTTGTATCTTAGATAATATATAATCATTCAACTCTAAACAGGAGTCTTGCTCTGTGTTTATATCAAGGTCTATTTAATATATTCCATCTATCATTTATTTATTTATTTATCTTTGTACCTTGTTTTTGTAGCAGTATACAATATATTACACTAAACGATGGGAAAGCAAAACTCAAGAGTCCACCATGATACAAGTCAATAGAGCGAAGTCATTTTCAAGCAAGTCAAACAGAGCTAAAGTTTGTTTGCTTTTTCAACTGTTGCATTCTTAATCTTTCATTTTTTAAAAAAGAAGAAATTGTGTGAATCAGGGTGGGTGGGGGCAAAGTACTGGAGGAGATGAAAGGACGGCAGCAGAGTTCTGGAAAAAAGAGTGATTTTGGTTGATAAATGGAGTCTGTCCAAAGAAGAGAGTCTCTCTCTACTCTGTAGCAGCCGCATCTTTGCATCAAGCAAGAGAAGAACTCGAGTAAAAGGGGGAGGAAAAAAGTACAGACTGTTCTTTTAGGTCCCTCATCCATGCCTGCATACTTGGTATGCTGGTGAATCCATTATCTGAAACCTTTGGAATCAAGGCCTCATTATTAAAAAAAAAACAAATGATAAAGGATGGGAGAAGAAATATGCTTCCAGTTGTCCCTGCAGAGAACAGTCCATTCCAATTTCTTATTCATTCTCTTCTCTCATTTCTACGATGTCTGTCAACTCCTCTGTTTGAGGCATGTCTGTCATTGCCGAGTCTTCGCCTTCTGTTGCAGTCTCATTGTCATTCCTCTTCTTTTTCTAGGTTAGAAAAACAAGAGTATTGTGGCAGATGGCCTGCAGATGTGCTGGATTTTAAACCCAAGAGAATGAAATAATCCAGAAACACTAAAACCTAATTCCTACTAAATCAATACACTAGCGCCAGGCTGTGTCACTTAAACTCAAGTGATAGATGATGTTAAATGGAGCTCCCCCTATTTTTTTGTCTCATGTAACAGTTTTCTAGGTGAGATCTTCAGCAAACGACAGAGTCAAGAAAGAAGCCCCGCCCCCTATTATTGCATCACAGCTTTCATAGGGAGACTGGTTCAGTTAGGGACATAAAGAAAAGGGTGCATAGATGAACATAATACATCACTTTAGCCTACGTACAAGTGAAAGCTAATTCAACCAAATGATGCTTCATCTAAACATAAAATAAAAGTATTATGGCGAGTTTAAGAGTAACATAACTATTTCAGTGTCAGGTTTTGTGGACTGCAACCCATTTCTTCACATACATGGGGAATCCATATGTGTTTGAGACAATATAATGTAATCAAGAAAAAATCCCACTAAAATAAATCTGTTAGTCTAAAGGCGGCACATACTTTCATTTTTTCTTTCAATTTTTATATATCTCTGAAACCATCATACAGAAGAATTTCTCAAAACATGTCAGGCTAGAAATAAACTTGTGACACCAACTGCTCTACATAGAACTTTTGTAGGGATGAGCATCATGTCAGACCCATCCCCTGCCATCTGCCCAGGGTGCAGAGTTACACCTCAATTATGACCAGGGCCAGACAAAAAAAAAACTGCTATAAGTAGAAAATCAGTAGTAGCATGAAATCATCAATAATGTCAATGAAATGAATTGTTTGCCCCTAAATTATGATGGAAAATTCTGGCCTTTTAATTTGGTGGTTGTGGTGTAACATAAATTCCCATAATCCCTCCATTCTGGTATGCTGGCTAGGAATGAAGGAACTGTATGCCAAAAATATACAAAGGCCATAGTTGCCTGCTCTTGCTGTAATTCCATCCCTCCAAATTGCCCTCTTCCCTTACTTCTTGAGCAAAATTTCTAAAATCTTAGGACTAAACTTTAAATGTTATTTCTATGCAATTCAAAAACCAGCTCAGATTTGTCTCTCGTGTACATACAGGGCTAGAGCATTTCTAAATATTCAACTATAAGCTGATTCAAAAGCATCCAAAATGTAGTCATTAATATATATTTGCATGTTTGTGTGTGTCTGTTGCCCATCAGATATATTAGGAAAATGTCTCTTGTCATACAAATCTTGTGTGGCTACTGGCCATGTGTGCTGGTGTGCCCAGACACATCTGGGTGGTGTCAGACTAGGGAAGGCTACAACTATTAATTGGGATTGGCCATTCCAGAGACCATAGGATGGTACTGTTAAATACTGCAATCTGCAATGGATGTGTTTTAGCTACTGTATTTTTCTTCTTCTTCCATGTTGCTTTATGTGCTGTTTTTGTGCTGTGCAAAGTGTTAGGCTGAAATTATTTCTATAACTGTTTCAAAATTTTGGGAGCCTGGGAAAGGGGTGATATAAAATTACCAAATCCAATCCATTAAATAAAAATGCATATTAAAGTTAAACAGGCAGGGAATCCTACACTCACCTGTTAACTTCTAAGCAGGGCTGTCTCAACGTAGAAAATACATCTCTAATTTTATATTTATTTACTTATTAGGTATATATATAAACCACTGTCTGGACAGCTCGGTAGTTTAGGTATCTGGCTGTGGGAGCCAAAGGTTCGGAATTCAACTCCCCACGGTGCCTCCTGCAAATAGAGCCAGCTTATTGTGGCCTTGGGCAAGCTGCACTTTCGCAGGATGCTGCCCCCAGTAGAAGGGAATGGCAAACCACTTTTGAGTATTCTCTACCTGGACAATCCTGAAAAAGGTTGCCATACTGGCAAATTGACTTGATGGCACATGATGATGATGATGATGATGATGATTAAATATAAACCATCTCCACCTAAAGTTTCTGAAGTAGCAAGGAAACAATAAAACATAATATGTAAAAAAAAACACACACACATGCAAATGGATAGTAATAAAATCAATCAAGAGCTTAATGTACCCTCTTCTGTCCAAAACAAAAATAACCAGGTCCATGTTTAGTTCCAATTCACTTTCCTGGAATTCAAAAGCAAGCCATCTGGCCCTCCGCAGAGTTTATCTGTACAAATATTTACCTGTTTCTGATACACGTAACAAGCTGCTATTGCAACCATGGTTGATTCTCCTACGAAGCCCGCCAGAAGTGATCCGACTCCCAGGGTGGCTCCATGAACCCTAATAATAGCACAGACAGGAAAACAGGCCAACTTTTATCATCACATGTCTCTCATATACTTTGGCCACTGTATTGCGACATTGAGGGGTATTACACTGATAAAACCTCAACACTGGCATTTAAAACATCATGTTCATAGTGCAGCAGGTTAACAGGAGTTTTCTTATCATGGGCACCAACCTCTTTCCCTTGTCAGAGCCCTTGGCTCTGATGTCACAAAACGTTGATTGTTGGATATCAACATGTAATTCAAAGGCAGACTTTGCTGAGATACAACTACTTACCTAAGTCTACTGGGCTAGAGGGGCGTCTTGTAACAGAGAGGAAAGTAGGAGGGCAGGGAGCTGAGTGGAAAGGCGCTTCAAGAGGGAAGAGAGTTCATGACAAGTAGCATGGCAGGCCAGGAGCCAGGAGGGAACAGACAATACAGTGAACAAGCAAGAACTTGAAGAGAGGAGCAGCAGTAATGGGAAAAGCCAAAGGAAAGGTCGATGTT